AATGTATGAGGATATCTCTAGAGCCATGCATTCCTCAAAAACCCAATATACGGTGTTAATGGGAGACTTCAATGCAAAACTTGGCACAAGAGAGAACGGTGAGCTGAAAGTAGGGAAATTTGGAATAGGGCAACGGAACCCAAGGGGCCAGCAGTTGGCTGACTTCATGGAGAAAGAGGGACTCTTTATGATGAACTCTTTCTTCCAGAAGCGGCCCCACAGGAAGTGGACCTGGTCGAGCCCCGACAGTTCGACAAAAAATGAGATTGACTTCATTATGACGACCAGACGACAACTGTTCAGTGATGTCTCAGTGATCGCGAGGGTGAAAACCGGCAGCGATCACCGAATGGTTAGAGGCACACTGAACCTAAACGTTAAGTTGGAGAGGTCTCGTCTAATGAAGTCAACGCTCCGTCCCCCTCGTGCTCTAATCCAAAGTCCCGAAACCTTTCAGCTCGAGTTACAAAACCGTTTTCAGTGCCTAGAAGACTGCAATGAAGTGGACGATTTGAATGACAAGCTCGTGGAAACTGTCCATGCGGTCGGAGCTAAGTTCTGCAAGACCCGCCGCAGAAGAACACAAAAACTCTCCGATCACACTCTTAATCTCATGGCTGTTAGACGGGAGATGAAGCTACATTCTTCAACAGATTTAACAGCATACAGGCAACTGAACAGACAGATCTCCAAATGCATGCGGCGGGACTTACGCAAATTCAATACAGCTCGTATTGAAGAAGCGATCGAGCGGAACCAAGGCTCCAAAGTCTTTGCCAGAGATCTGTCTGCCAGAAAGCGCCAACTGTCAAAGCTGAAGACAGAGTGTGGCAGCATCGTTTCCGGGGCACCTGAGATTTTGAGTGAGATTGAGAGGTTCTATGGGCAGCTGTACACGTCATCGTTGGAGCCGCACGCAAGTGTGAGTAACGATCCAAGAGCGAGTCTTATCCGACATTATTCCGATGATATCCCGGACGTCAGTCTGAGCGAGATTAGAATGGCTCTCCAGCACCTTAAAAACGGCAAGGCCCCAGGCGAGGATGGAATTACAGCGGAGCTTCTGAAAGCGGGTGGAAAACCGGTACTTGAAGTCCTTCAGAAGCTCTTTAATTCCGTCCTCCATGGTGGCATTACACCGGAGGCGTGGAGCAGAAGTGTGGTGGTCTTGTTCTTCAAGAAAGGCGACAACGCTCTCTTGAAGAACTACAGACCGATTTCCCTTCTGAGCCGCGTCTACGTGCTGTTTTCGAGAGTCATTACGAATCGTCTCGCGCGCAGACTTGACGACTTCCAGCCTCCCGAACAAGCCGGTTTCCGAAAAGGCTTTAGCACCATAGACCACATACATACCCTTCGGCAAATTGTACAGAAGTCCGAGGAGTACAATTTGCCACTATGTCTGGCGTATGTGGACTATGAGAAAGCCTTTGATTCCGTCGAAATTTGGGCGGTGCTGCAGTCCCTTCAGCGATGCCAAGTTGACTGTCGGTATATCGAAGTGTTGAAGTGCTTGTACAGTAGGGCTACGATGGCTATCCGAGTACAGAACCAGAGTACGAAACCTATCCAATTGCAGAGAGGTGTAAGACAGGGTGACGTCATATCCCCGAAACTCTTTACCGCTGCATTGGAAGATGTTTTCAAGCTTCTGGACTGGAAAGGATACGGTATCAACATCAATGGCGAGTACATCACTCACCTTCGATTTGCCGACGATATAGTCCTTATGGCAGAATCGCTGGAGGACCTAAGCACTATGCTCAATGACCTCAATAGTGTTTCCCAACGGATAGGTCTTAAGATGAACATGGACAAAACAAAGATCATGTTTAATGTCCATGTCACACCTATGCCGGTAGTTGTTGGGAACACTAAGCTCGAAGTTGTTGACGAGTATGTTTACCTGGGACAAATAGTCCGACTAGGTAAGTCCAACTTCGACCGAGAGGTCAATCGACGGATTCAACTCGGTTGGGCAGCGTTCGGGAAATTACGGCACATCTTCTCGTCAGGTATACCTCAAAACTTGAAAACGAGACTGTACACCCAGTGCGTGTTGCCAGTGATGACATACGGAACTGAGACGTGGTCCTTCACTGCTGGCCGGATGAGGAAGCTCAAGGTCGCTCAGCGAGCTATGGAGAGGGCTATGCTCGGAGTTTCTCTGCGTGATAAACTCAGAAATGAGGATATCCGCAGTAGAACTAGAGTGACCGACATAGCCCAACGGATTAGTAAGCTGAAGTGGCAATGGGCCGGCCATATAGCTCGAAGAACCGACAACCGATGGGGAAGAAAGGTTCTCGAGTGGCAGCCTCGTACCGGCAGGCGAAGTGTAGGGCGTCCCCCCACTAGATGGAGTGACGACCTGGTAAGATATGCAGGAAGTCGATGGATGCAGGTGGCTCAGGACCGTGCTTTGTGGCATTCTTTGGGGGAGGCCTATGTTCAGCAGTGGACTTGTGAAGGGCTGTAATGATGATGATGATGATCTTCACATAAATCGTCTTTGAAATTGTGCCATAATTTCAGTGGTTCCGATGGCTGACAAAATAAAAGTATGACTACAAACAATTCTCTCAGTTGTGCTGGACATTGCGAAAGCGATGCTTCTCTCAAAGTGTTTTCCCAATGGTCATCGTTTTCTAGCAAACCTCTGTCACGGCAAGCTGCTTGATAGGTCTCTTTGAGAACTCCGTTAACAGTTTTTAAATACTCGAATGAGGTTGGACCGCGTACGTAATGTAGCAACATCCTAAGATAAAAACACTCTGATTGAGAAGGATGTACACCGTAGACTCTTCCTAAAGCGGCATCTTTTTTATGCCTGGATGGCCAACTACGTCCTCACCACGCCTCCATCTTGTGAATTTATTATTGGCCCATGTGTAGTATTGCAGCACTTTGTGGTATAGAAGTGTCTTTGCGAATTCATCTTCATTAGAGAGCTCAATGAAAGCCAGCAAAGTAGTTTTCCGTGGATATTGGGCCACTTGTTCAGCCTTTTCGGCGGTAAAATACACCCTTTGGCCATTTTCTAAGTGTACGGCTAACTGCACGAATGTAGGATGCCGCTCATGGATCGAAAATTCTAATATCCGCCAGACAGCTTCGGATGTACTTATATACCGGCCATTCACGTAGTTTTCCACTTCATCGTTTGGGTTTCTTACGCTAAAAGTAGCTTGGTCAGAACCTTTATTGATATATTTACAAATGTATTTGATGGCTTGAACTGAGTGGCAGTACTCCACATTTATATGAGCGTTAAACGTCCTACACAATAGTGGAGAACAAGGGACAACCCATCTATTATCTATATTGACTCTACTTCCTCTGATATTTAGCGTAGCGCTCTGTCCTCCATTTTCGGCGTCACGACTACGGTAAACTGGATATCCGTCCTCTCCGGTTTGGGTATCGTTGACGACTCCGCATGGTCCGTGCACCATATTTTTAGTTACGATATCGTACAATATCGGGTTGTATTGTTGGTTGGGCAGTTCTGCAACTATGACACTATCAATTTCGTCTGTCTGGATTTTTCTTTCGAGCCAAAACAACAAATGACAGTGTGGTAAACCTCGCTTTTGCCACTCCACACTTGCCTTGTAACATTTCACTTTGCCGAATATTTCATCTTTGGTGAATAATTTTATGAATTTCCTCATCTTTAAATGAAATACCCTTGAAATTATGTCATGACGATCGAAAGACCGCTGACCAGATAATAGTTCCCCTTTAATTTCAGGCCATTCGGGGTTACACGTAAAAGTCACAAATAAGTCTGGCTTTCCGTAGTTTCGGACATTAGTCATAGCATCCTGGGTTTTTTCATGCAAATAACGCGGAGAACCTGTGAATGAAGATGGCAAGATTACGTGTTGACCGATATTTGATGGGTCTAGATTTGCATCTTGATTTAAAGCGTCTCTGAGATGAATGTATTCATCAACCCTCAGTCTTTGTTGATTATGACTTATGTAATTCAATCTTTCTGATATCATTTTTGCCATCATATCGACAATATATTGACTAAATAAGTCCCTGTAATAATGTAGTGGAATAAAACAGTTAGCTCTAAGCATCAATCTAAATGCATAAAATTATATGCGCGTCACAGTTTTGTTACGCACTGTACCTTGCTGAGGAATAGTCAAATAATAACCGTCTTCTCCCATCACGAACGTTAAGGGATACTGTAGTGGATCATAGGATCGGTGTAACTCAGAGACCCTTTTAAGTTGGCCGTCTCTACCATGCAGCACTATATCTCTGGGGCCTTTTTCTTCCTCAACCAAGAGAACGGCTACCTCGTTTACAGCTGGAGCATTATATTTGCCCGGGTGTGCTGTCTGTGGCGGGCGGTCGGAGTGAATAATTAACTTTAAACTATCCGAAGAGTTACGTTCTAAGTTTTGTTTAAAACTTCGTATGTATAAATTGTGGCTATTCAGTGCGGTCTGCGGTCTGTTCAGTGGACTGCGGTGTGTTCGTTAATTAAATCAATTTTTAGCGTTGGAGCTATATTTGACCGCAACGATAGCTTATCTGAGTCTGAAGTGAAATATATCTGCAAGTATTGTGGATTTTGGACTGATGGTGGTAAAAGGCTACCTATAAGATGATAGACTTGTCCCTTTATTTTAAAAGTAGGCATAAAATTTCCTTCTCTAATTTCTTTCGCGCCAAATGAAGTCATTTGAAATAGGCTATTGTACCTACGTGTGTTGCTTTTAAAATATTTTTTATTGGCTGTGGGGGCTCCTGAATATTGGGGAGACTAACTTTTCCAGAAGCACAGCACATACCATTAGGTTCATCCACCCATTTTTTGGCAGAACACTTAGAGCAGATCTTATTCATGGCTCCGATTTGGACGGAAGACTGTTGAGCATAATCAATCTGTGGATCGTATCTGAAAGTCGATCTATTACTGGGGCTAAAACTCAATTGCGAACTCTAGTCCTTGACGTCTGTTGTCTTTCTCTTTGATCTCAAAGACGCTGCGAACGCTCGACACTCGACTCTCGCGCGCGTATTTGAGAGGTTCTCAAATTTTGTTCAAGAAGCCGCTGAAAACGCTCGACACTCGATTCTCGCGCGCGTACTTGTGAGGTTCTCACATTTTGTTCCTCAAGCCGCTGAGAATGCTCGACACTCGACTGTCGCGCGCGTTCTTGAAAGGTTCTAAAATTTTGTTCAGCAAGCAAGCTGCTGGGAACGCTCGACACTCGACTCTCGAGCGCGTACTTGAGAGGTTCTCAAATTTTGTTCAGCAAGCCGCTGCGAATGCTCGATACTCAACTCTCTGGTACGCGATTGCGACGCGTATTCTTTCTGATTTGCAAGATGATTTTCAGTTTCTGATGAAGACTCTCCTTTACGACGTATTTTTAATGCCCTCGCCTGGGAACTATTTCTGGAAAGTTGAGATCTTGATCTTTTGGGCATTTTTTATTCATCAGCAGGTAAAAACAAAATTATAAAAAAAAAATTAAAAGTACCCTTGTACTAAATTATATGCTCAACAGTTGAACCGGAATTACCTATATAAAAATGTAATTGAAAAATTATAAGAACTACTAAGTTACTAAGCTGTTTGGATAGTTAAATGTACATAATATTTATTTATCAGTTAGTACTTACTGAATATAACATAAAAAATGGGTTTAGAACTGAAAATAACTTTTGTTTGGTTTTAAAAATAACTTTTTAGCTGGGTTTAAATTTAATCAATACATACATAAATATTAAAGTTATTGGATTCCGCACACAACCGCTGCGTAGGGGGCCGACCGCGCGAGTGGGCTCCCCCCCCCCCCCCCCAGCGACACCCGCTCGCATCGCATGGTACTGGCAGTGTACGCGATATAAAGATTTTCGGCGTTACTATTGAATATTTTAACATGGAAAAATAGTTATTGTGAGATAACTGTAATCGTTAGACATATGGTATCGCGGACTTTTTTGTAGATATTGATGTCCCCCATAAAACTGTAGCACATAACTTTGCTCTATTCTCAACAGTTTCCGCAGCGTACGCGATATAAGGATTTTTTTGGTATTTTTTTCACACCTTGGGTTATATTAACGAAGTTTTCATACGGATCCCTAAATTTTTAGAAAACATTCTACCACCTATGTTCATCAGGAATAATGTAGGATTCTAATGGTGAAAAAAATTTTCAAATCGGTTCAGTACTTTCAGAGCCTATTCAATTCAAACAAACAAACAAACAAATCTTTCCTCTTTATAATATTAATAAATAATAATAATAATAATATTAGTGTAGATGTAGATTAGTACGTAATTAATATTTGTGAATGACAGAGTCGAGAACGAACGCCCTAAACGAAGGTTTATCGACCAAATTGACGATATATTGAAATACAAATTAGGGGTACCCATAACCGACGAGCGTGTATGCATATATATATATATGGATGTAAAGGAGGCGAGAGAGGAGTGTCAGGATCGTGCCAAATAGAAGCCCGTAGTCTCTGCCTACCCCTCTGGGTGACAGGCGTGAGTGTGTATGTATTATATGTAAATTACTAATAAGTAAATAACTTAAGGATATTTTAAGCCTCTATGTAGAACGAACTATAAAAATAGCATGATGTGTTGAGCGCGAGCACTTCATTGTTGTCAGTGTTTACAGACCCCACAATCTATGTATTATTGTTTTGAAAAAATAATGGAGGAAGTTTTGCTTAAGCTTAATAAACAAATTAAATCTGTCGTTGAATGCGGATACTTTAATATCACTCTCCTTGATACGTTTTCCATGAGTATTAAGTTTAGATCATTGCTCAAATCATACAGCCTAGTTAATTTGTTTTTAGTGCCAACACGTATTGCAGGGCCTAGTGCAACTTGTATAGATAATATTTTTATTGATGTTGAGCCCTTACATAAAAAAATTATTAAAATTTAAGTTCTGATCAATGTGGACAGTTGTTTTCGCTACCTTACATGAACAAAAAACAGAAAGTTAAGAAAGTTGTGCTTGTTCCAATAAATGAACATCGCTTAGAAAGATTTAGAAGTAGTATAGTGAAAAAGCTGCCATTTCTTCCATATAAAAACAATACTAACTATTTATATGGATCATATTAATATATATCAAATTCATACATGTGATACTAATAATTCTAAATGTCTATGCCCATCTATCAGTAAAGTAAGTAAAACAAAATATTTAGGAGTTATTTTAGATGAACGACTATCTTGGCTTGATCAGATTGAACTTGTAAATGCGCGAATTAGAAAACTAAGTTGGCTTTTTAAACAGTTGAGATATGTAGCTTCTAACAAACTACTTATACTATTGCATTCCTGTCTGGGGTGGAGCAGCGAAAACTAAATTTATAGAAGTGGAATTGTCACAGAGATCACTATTAAAAGTCATGCATTTTAAACCTTTCCTTTTTTCAACCACCAAGTTGTATCAAATGTGTGACATGCTAACAGTAAGAAAATTATAAGAAGTATAGTAAAATATAAGAAGTATAGTAAAATAAAGAAAATTCCACTTCCAGGTCCTTCAAAAGAGTCATTGCTAACGCAAAGCAGTGCACTGATTCGTGCGTAAATCTGCAGAATTGGCGAGATATTAGTTCGCGTTCCATCGGGAATCCGTGCATTCTAGTCTCTCGCCAAGGCTGTCCAAGGGAACTTCTTTCAGCCATCTCTTTCATCTCTGCACAGGGAGAACGCCTCACATGCCCATGCCGCAAAGGAGAAAGCCGATCTGTTAGACTCTTTTTGCGTCCAACTCGACTTTCGGTGACGGGAGGAACACACTGCTGACCATTCTGCGGTGTGAGTGCTCAGTGCGCAAAGCGCTCCTCTCCCTGAATGTTAACAACTCGAGTAAACCTGATGAAGTTCCTAATGTTGTGCTGAAGACATGTCCCACCAGGCGTAGGGGTACCTAACCTACCCTAACGAACCGAACTCATGGAGATAGCTTTAGTGCACCTGATACCTAAAATAGCGACAATTCAGCTTCAAGCCTTTTACCTCCTTGTACTATAAAATCATGGATATCATTATAAACTGCCAGGTGATTACGTACGTTGAAGTCCACCAGCTAATTAGTAACTGCCAATACTGTTTTTACCGTGGTCACTCAGCTGGTGATCTTCTAGAATAGAATAGAATGGAATATTTTTTATTCAATATACATTACATGTGTAATTCTTATTGAAAGTCATTTTTTACTTTACCACTGGTTCGAAAAAAAAGCCCTCTGTCCTGGGAAGAACCAGCAAGAAACCCAGCGGGACTTTTTTTTTTAAATAAATTTTACAATATATTTACAAAATTTATTTTAGAAACTGCTTGGAAGCGACCACCTCATTCCCAGTGGTTATTATCAACCATGTATTCATTTATACTATAATAACCCTTTTTATACTGTTTCAGCTTAATAAAACATTTAAACTTGGTAATAGAGAGAACCTGTACACTTTCCGGGACCTTGTTGTAATAGCGTATACATTGCCCCAAGAATGAATTACTGACTCTGTGGAGTCGAGAAACTGGCATCACTAGCTTGTGTTTGTTCCTAGTGTTTACAGAATGTATATCACTTTTTTTACTAAAACTATCTTTGTTTTTGTAAACATACATTAAATTTTCGTAAATATACTGAAAGGCCAAAGTTAATATATTAATTTCTTTAAATTTATCTCTAAGAGATTCTCTCGGTTTTAGATTGTAAATAGCTCTAATGGCCCTCTTCTGTAAAACCAAAATAGTTTCTCAATCAGTCGCATTTCCTCATAGCAAAATCCCATAAGACATTATGCTATGGAAATAACTAAAATAAACTAATCTAGCTGTCTCGACGCTAGTGAGACCTCTAATCTTTTTTATAGCATAGACTGCAGAACTTAGTCTGCTTGCTAATTTGGATATATGGGGGCCCTACTGGAGCTTTGCGTCAAGAGTGATGCCTAGAAAAACAGTGGATACAACAGGGCTCAATTCCTCCCCATTTAAAAACACATTGGTATTCAGATTTTTAACATTAGTTGTTGTAAATTTAACACAATTAGTTTTATTTCCGTTCAAATGCAGATTATTAACGTTAAACCAATGCACTAATTTTGATATAGCATTATTCACTTCGTCACATTTAAATGATTGACGTTTAAGTTTAAAAATCAAGGAAGTATTATCAGCAAATAATACTTTATCATGACTATTCCCTACAAGGTGAGGTAAGTCATTAATATACACCAGAAACAGGAATGGGCCGAGAATCGAGCCCTGAGGAACACCCATTAGTACAGGTGACCCGGAAGAACTTTTACCATTGATAATAACCTTCTGTTTTCTATTACTTAAGTATGAAATAATAAGTTTAAGCGCTGTTTTCTTGACACCATAGTACTGTAGCTTCCTCATTAATGTCTCACGGTGAACACAGTCGAAGGCCTTGGAAAGGTCACAAAATATACCCAAAGCATCCTCTGAATTCTCCCATACACAAAAATATGTTTAATAAGCTCAACTCCAGCGTCAGTTGTCGAGCGACCCCTTGTAAAACCGAATTGATTTTATGTAGCAATTTATTAATATTAAAGAAACTTAACATCTAATCTAAAATAATTTTTTCAAAAATTTTAGTGTCTAGTGTACCTGACTCCTAAGATTATGGATACAGTAGAGTCTAAGAGGCCCTTGGGCGTTAGTTTGGACATATCAAGGCATTCGATCGGGTTTGGCACAAAGTGCTTCTTTCAAAGCTTCTTTCATATTTGCTTCCCAAGAAATTGTGCAATTGAATTACCAGTTTCATTGAATGTTGCGACTGCAAGCCCATTTATGGTAGGATTCCACAAGGCTTTGTGCAACACCGCCACTGTTTATGTTGAAAATCAATTAATCGTATGTTGCAAACTAGTAACATTCATTGGTATACGGATGACAGCACAGGTGATGTACTCGTATTTTACATCGGCCTTACCAATGTTTCTCGGGAACACCTCGTCGAGTACCGGACCAAACTTGTGCCTGAAGTCAAATCTTTGTTAAATAAAGTCTCGGATTGGTCTCTTAAGGTACAGGTTTGCGTCTTTACCGCTAAAAAGAACCCCTTTGTTGTATCCCTTCAATTTAAGGGCTTGTTCATTTTCGGCTTCCATTTTATCGAATGATGTACAGTACCGCGGTCACTTGAAAATGAAGGCAGAATTGGCTTCTAAAAAGCTTGGCGTGCTTAGCAGAGTGAAACAGTATTTCATGCCGGCACACTGCTTGTAACTTTACAAGACGCATGTTCGGCCTCACAAGGAATACTGTTCTCATCTCCAGGCTGTGACACCTCATTGCCAGATCATTCCACTTGATCGCATCTAACGAAAAGCGGTTCGAATAGTTAATTATCAAGTTCTTTCCGATCAGCTCGATTTACTGGCGCTGTGTAGAAAATTTTAGG